TTATTTACACTACACTCTGTGCATCCCATGTCATGCACAGGTTTTTATTATGTGAAACACTATATATTAGTTGCCTTGCAGTAGTTATAAATATGAAAACAGACGATTGTCCTATGGTCATATATGACGCACAAAATATTAGATTAGGCCTTTTTTTAGACGTTCTGCTTGATTCTTTGTTCTTTTTGTGTGCCGTGTCCTTTCAGGACGGAGGTGATCATGGCTCTCCACTTCTCCTTATTCTTATAGTAGACTTTTATTAAGTGTCCTTAGTTTTACCACTTTTAAAATCATGGCTCCTGTCCACCACATATGATACACGGACATGGAAATCACACGTCCTGTACATCACATATGATGTGCAGGAGAGGCAATGAGTTAATACATATCGACGGATTTGCACCAAAATTTACATGCACATGCTCCAAGTTAGCGGGAAGGCCAAGACCGATTTTGCATTTCAACTCCCATCGATAGTGGATATAATCGATTTTTTCATGCTTCTACGGCAGTTTTCATGTAGTTTGCGGCCATTTTCTACTGGCCAGAGTGAGAGCCTATAGCTGGCTGCCACGAATAGGCAGGAAGATTCTATTAGCCAGCGTGAGAGCCAACAGCTGACTTACACGAATGTTAACTAGCATGCTAGCATGCAAAAAATATCGATAGCTGCATTCGTCACAAGTGGGAGAAATTTAAATCTGCATGGCTTAAACGAATGATTCTGATTCCGCAGAACTGGGTTAGTGTGAAAAAGTATTTGTTGTTAACATTCTTTTTTCCTTCGGTTTTTCCAGTCACGAGTCCTTTTTTAAAGCTGATCGTTTTGTATTCATTTTGTTTAGTTCTTTTTTTCGTAACAGATTTAATATTTAGTATAGAGCTTAGAAAAAATTTGCAGTGTGAGATAGGCAAGAAGTAAGGCATGTAGCAACATCAGCACGGCAAAGGGCACTCCTTTAAAGGCAAGGAAGGGCAAAAATATTTTAAGCCAAGTGATAGCGATTGCTGCATGAGTCGTACGATTTTTGAATCAAGCACGGGCAACGCCGGGCCATGCTGCTAGTTATCGAATAAAATTGGAAAACGATGCATTGGTTTAAAATCTATATTTATACTAATTGTCTATTCTACTAGGAAAAACTTAGTAGCGCGATAAAATATTTAAAATCTGAACGAAAAATCAAAGCCTCTAATACGAACGGGTCTATTTGTTTAGTATCTATGCAAATAATCATTTTTGATCGATAAAATATCTTGTAAGTTGTTCGTTCTAGACTAAGATACTACTGGTAAACAACTTGAAATATTTCTGATGCTTCAATTTAAAAAAAAATTGCTTCACCTAAAACAGATATCTTTTGGGAATTAGCTCCGTCAAATAAATCTGAAATATTGCGAACTTATGGCAACATTTTTTTTTAATCTCGACTTCATGACTTATAAGTTTAATGGATATTAATATCCATCTTCACAAAAATCTACCAGTATCAAGTATCTGTCATGACATACCAATAAACTCACAGACGTATGCGTGCCACATGAGAGACACATATTAGAACATTTAAATTTTGTTAAGTATTTGTTTTAATAACGCGACGAGTAGACAGCAATAAAGTTCAGAAAAAAGTCTCTTCAGAGACTGTAGTAAGCACAGAAAACTACTGTTATCAGGAATCTATCTAAATTTGTAGACATCGCTGTCAATTTTGAAAGAAGCTAGGGATTAAGTTGACATTTTCAGACATGGCAAGATGGGGACTGTCAGTTTCAAAACGAGACAACTCAGATAGAACTTAGTGGAATTTTTAGCTTTCGTCCCCGCCTCACACTTCTCATTTAAACATCGTTCTGGCTTGTGCTATCATGTAATCTAAGCTGTGGATAAAATTTTAAGCAAATTATTTGGCAAGTGCATATTATTTATTCAGTATAATATTTCAAACGAGAGATGAACTCAGCGAACAGCGAAGGAGAAATAGAAAATAAAACAATGGTTATCAAGGTGTCGAGTCCATATCATCAGATTACGATATGAGTTTTATGAGTTTTATTATTATTATTATTATTATTATTATTATTATTATTATTATTTGTCTCTTATTTTGAATATTAAAAATCTCTTCTTCTACTAACTTTTTCTTTGGACATTGTCTTCAAACGTTATAATATTATGCCTCCGTTTTCTGAATTTTAAATTTCTTCTTTTCTTTCTTATACTACCTTTATTTATTCGAGCATTGTCTTCTTTGTTACAATATTTTACTTCAGTGTGTCTTAGCATGAGTATTAAAATTCTTTGTTTGTTTGTTTGTTTGTTTCTTTCTTTCTTTCTTTCTTTCTTTTTCCTTCTCTAAATCTTAGGACAAAAAGAAAAAATAACTAGAATTATAATTAATTCTTCTTTCTTTTTTTTTTAGTTAGAATATCAAATTAATTTCTTCTTTGTCTTCTTCTTCTTCTTCTTAAAGAGTTTAATTATTCTATGCTTATTAATAGTTTATGCATTCTGCAGGTAATGATTTACTTCAACAAAATTTTTATGACATTCAAACGAATATTTATAAATATATACATGGCCATTACTCGTTACTATCATACGCCAATAACAGACGATATTTTTAGCTTGATTTTCTCAAGAAAACGAATGCTAATTTTCCCTTGGGCTAAGATTATTTGACTTTCATATATTCTCAAATACTTCTCTTATGTCTTGGGTATTGCCCTTCTCCTTAGATTTATTTTACGTAACACGTTCATTCGTAAACATTTTCCACTATTTGAATACGGATTTGTACATCCGTAAATTTGGATATCTTTGCATAAGAACAACTGAGTATTTACTTTGGAATAAACGAATGCATGTTTCAAAAGATGGGGTATTGACATTCGAAGGTAGAATATTTAAAAACGGTTAATATATTAAATAAGTATTTAACGATTTCGAAGGATCCGTTCTTGTCATATGTGTTTAGGCAAGCCATTTTAATAAAGAAGAAGGCATACTGAAACCTTGGAAATAATTATTGGATTTTATAATCATGTGAATCAGGAAATCTTTATGGCTTTGGGATCTATGTTATAAAAAGAAAAAAGAAAGATGTTGAATTGGGTCATTGCTATGGCCAATTACTTATTCAACTTCCGATTGTCGGTTGACAGAACGAAAATGTTGGCGTAAGAAAATCAGTGAATTTTTTACGTATCGATTTAAGAAGGAGAAAACATTTTTTTTCTTCTTCTATCTTTGCAACATTATAAATATCAGTTTAATGGCTACAGCATGTTTACAGAGTTTTCACAGAAGTAAAAATGCAATTAAGTAAAATAAATCTGATTAAATACATCTGATGAATGAATTCAGCTGGTTCAGTTTATTTGGCGGGATTTTATCCAAATATCTATTTAGTCGCGACCATTTTCGGCCCCTTCTTGCTCTGATAACAGTCAGTAAATGAAATCGACCCTGTTAAGGTTTGAAATACCCAAAGAAACAGACCGATTGGTAAATCTCTCTCTTTCTCTCTTTTCAAACGTTATTACACTGGTCATTTCGTATTTGAAATAGTCGTCCATTTTATTTATTAAAGAGTGTGTATTAATAAATAAAAATGGGACGTCTGTTTCAAATACGAAGGTCTCCATAACGTTTGAAATTTTATAAATTTCGGATTTTTTAAAATCAATTCATTCAAGCAAGGCAATAATACCACTAAGACGCAAGGGACTACTGGAAGTGAAATAGAATGAAAAAAAAAACTTTAGAAGAAACCGGAAACCTAATTCTAAACAGGAAACAAGGGATAAACCTCTACTCCTGTTCATAAGACCGAGGATGAGTATGAACCGGACAACAGGCGGACCTATCTACTCCTACTTAAAAAAATAGTAAATAACATTTTAGAATTTAATCTATGTTTACACTGTTTCTCTGTAAGAAAACTGGCACGATCAAAGCTCAAATGTCGATCACGTGACCACAACAGTAACTATAAGCACGTGTGAGCAGAAGGCAGTGTGACAAACCTAAATCTTATGGCAATTGATTTGCCCTCGTATATATATATATATATATATATATATATATTTGTAGGTCCGATGAATTGGGTCGTGATTACGATTTCAATTCAATAAATTATAACCATGGAATATTAGTGTTTGAGCCTTTGATATTTTATATATATATATATATATATATATATATATATATATATATATATATATATATATAGATAGAGAGAGAGAGAGAGAGAGAAAGTTTTGGATATAAGAATCAACACTACATAGTAACTATCACTTTTACGGTTCAGTGCGATCGCCAGACACACCTGATATTGTATATTCATCCACTTTCAAATGCGTCTGTTAAGCTTAAGCCATTGTCCTTCTCCTTAGGTTTCCTTTACGTAACATGCTCGTTCAGACTAGCTCTGAAGATCACATTGAAACATGAAACTATATACTTGATTCCTATGTCACCACTGTTTATATCTACAAAGGCGCTATCTCCGACATTGACAACTCTTGACACATAAATATCAAATATTAAGTGCAATGTCTAATATTTACTTTATTTATGGTGGATAAGTGTCCAATATTGGGGATACAGCGTTTGGAGAAGATATAGAAGTTAGTACTGCATAGTGACTGCCAGATCGCTTAAGGCAGTGGTTCCCAAGTTGTGAGGCGCGCCTTAAAGGTGCGGCGAAAGAGGATAGCAGGTGAGGCGGAATGATTGAAAGACAATCAAAGATTTACAAACAGTTGCAAAATTCATATGCTAAAAATAAATATGATATCAAAATTTAAAATATGTAATTCTTGTAATTGCATTCATGAGCCCCAGTATAAATAGTTATAAATAATTATTGACCGATTTTATCATTGTCATAGTTTTGCATTATACCACATATTAAGAATATAGTAACTAGGGTCCGCAAATTGGTGGAGAGTGTTATCAATAATAATGTTCTGACTTCAAATCTACGGTTATACCGAAAATGCGGCCCAGAGAAAAATGTTTGGGAACCACTGGCTATCTATCTATCTATCTATCTATCTATCTATCTATCTATCACCGTCTGTTCATATCTGTCGACCTAAATCTGTTCATATCTAAGTCTGTTCATATCTATCTATCTATCTATCTATCTATCTATCTATCTATCTATCTCATTCTGTTCATTATTTTTATGGGACCTTACCCATAATAACATAATGGACTATTCCATACGTAATAAATACTGCGCCTCAAGAGGAAGCAGAGGGGTCAGTCTGAAGTCTGGATTGAGGTCCGTTCGAAGTCCGCCAGGAGTCTGTCAGTCAGTCAGAGCGAGCGAGTCAGTCAGTCGAGTCAGAGGCAGTCCGAAACAGAGTCGCGTTCAGACAAGTACTACTAAACCTAATTGTTCGTACTAACACTTTCTACTCCTCTGTATATATTCCTGTTTGTAATATACCTGTGTTATTCCGTCTCCGTGTTCGAGTTCTTCTTTATTGGTTCTACCTTGGACTATCACCGTGGTACAAGGAACCGGACCATAACGATTATCTATGTATCCATCTATCTATCTCATTCTGTTCATTATCTATCTATCTATCACTGTCTGTTCATATCTGTCTACCTAAATCTGTTCATATCTATCTATCTATCTATCTATCTATCTATCTATCTATCTATCTATCTATCTATCTATCTATCTGTTCAGGACATAACAAATATGATAGTGAATGTAGAAATAATATTTTATATCAGTCTTTACAATGAAGCGAACATGCCTTCGTTGAAAATCGGCATAACCTGGGATCAAACACCCACTGCTGGTGTACACAGCTCCCTCAGCCACCAGGCGGATCTTACAACTTACTTTTCCTATTTCCGCTAATTCTAAATTTAATTTTTATCACTTCAGTTTCCATTTTTACTTCCAAACTATCTTTTACTTTTGCTAAAGATGGAAACGGACGGCTTATTAATAAGCAAACAATTGAACACGACAGTAAATGCTAAAAATACGATCATCATTTATTTAAAATCTAAAATTGTTTGGCTGTAAATTGTGACGTTAATGCTTATTTTGGGCCCCTTTGTCTTGAAACCAGATCAAGCCATGGATTACGAAATAAATAACTTTCTTAATTTATGTCCAGAGAAAAAACTGAGGAATGGCAGCCTTAGGAAATACGAAAGTAGTTAACCAAATAAGTAAGTCCACAATATATATATATATATATATATATATATATATATAGTGGGCTTAGATATTAATGTTATCTACAATATATATATATATATATATATATAAGCCCATTAAGTATATTATATATATATATATATATATATATATATATATATATATATATATTTCTATAATATTAGTGGTAACATACATGCATACACGTACATATATATTTTTGAATAAAAAAAAATTCCAAGAGGATAGAATCCAGGTAGAACTCAATGTCCAGGACAGAGTAAGGATATAATAAAAAGGCTTAAACACTAATATTCCATGGTCATAATTTATTCCATTGGAATCGTAAATACGATCCAATTCATCAGACCTACAAATTCAAAAAGAAAACAGAAAAAAAAAACAACCCCGGAAATAAAAAATAGAATTTAGAGAGAGTGTAAGTATGAGAGTGTGGGTCGAATATTAGAGCTAAAGAGAGGGGTAACAGAGGAGAGAAGGTGGGGTATTAAAACTTAACAGAGAGAAGTTTTAGAGAGGTGAGGTCAAACAGTGGGCTTAGATATTGTGTTATCTACAATATATATATATATATATATATATATATATATATATATATATATATATATATATATAGTGGGCTTACTTATTGTGTTAACTACAATATATATATATATATATATATATATATATATATATATATATATATATATATATACATACATGTTTATTGTGGGCTTATTTATTGTGTTAACTACTTTCGTATTTCCTAAAGAGTATATTTTTATATATATATATATATATATATATATATATATATATTCAAATGACAGAAAGAACAAACGAATTAAAAATCCATTCTTCGAAGCATTTACTTTTTAAAAAGTGCTCAATACAAAGTAGAGCAAAATATTATTATATTTTTATTATATGAGATTATAATAAAAACATTTTTAAATCACTACACAAAAGCTTTCATGTTTCAATACTATCTAACACTTTCGCCCCGGTCCCTCAACCTCCGGCGTCTTACTCTCGGGGTTGAGGTGTCTACACGATCCTAACCGAACTTAAGGGAGTGGCCATAGGTCCCCTGAGCATCCGTGGATTATTCGATCGGTCCGCTGGTTTAATCCTACTTCTTGCCCACGTTGTGATTTGTTTGATCCAGAAAGCAGATGTGATGTCCATCCATTCACGGTCGACTGAAGATGTAGACACGGCTGGGGAGTCTGCGCTAAGAAATTTAGAATGCAGCGAAAAAAAAATTAATATCTGCAGAAAGCCGGACAAACATTGATTCAATGTTTGAATTGTTAATGTCTTTTATATAGCAGAAAAGAATAGTAGAGAAGAGAAACGGGTTACAGAAAAGAAAAGTAAAAAAACTCATACACTGGATAACTGACCCTCAGCCCTACTACTTTGCACGCGATTATCACGGGGGTTCTGGCAGCTTCAACTAAAACCATGTGAATTCCAAAGTTCCTTCTAGCTTACTCAGCTCTATTTCAATTTTTAATCGATAAAAATTATTTCGACCATTTCCATTGTCCTCTGATGACTCAGATTCAAGGGTCACAACTTCTGCCCTAGATCAGATTTTCCCATCGGTAAACAAAATGCTCTGATTTAATTTCGCTATTCAAATCTATTCCAATTTCACTAAAAAAATATACGTCTGTGTGTGTGTTTCCCAGACCCTCTCTCTGTCACAAATATGATTGTACTTCCTCAGGCGATGGTAGGTAAATGGTTATAAATTATTTTTAAATTTCCCTAAAAAATCATTTTATAACCAGTTACCTACCATCACCTGAGGAAGTACGATCATAGTATTGAAACATGAAAGCTTTTGTGTAGCGATTTAAAAAGATTTTATTATAACCTCTTATAATATATATATATATATATATATATGTGTGTGTGTGTGTGTGTGTGTGTGTGTGTGTGTGTGTGTGTGTGTGTGTGTCTTGAACAATAAAAAAATGTTAAAAATTTAAAATTTCAGACATACTGAGTTGTATAATAATATTTTTTGTTTTATTATTTAAATTAAATTACTCGACAGGTTTCGGCTAGCATGGCCATCATCAGGAGAAAAAGAAATCCCTACTTGTTAGTAGCAGTGAACTACAGGAATGAATGACAGTTTTTGAAGAAAGTGAACTTTGTCTGGACTTTTCATTTGTGTTTTTTTATTTGTTTTTTTTTATTTATTTTTTTTTTTTATCGTTAATTTTGTTCAGTCCTTGTATTGGTTAAACGACCTTTTTTAATTTTAAAAAAACAGAGACTGGGAGATTTATGAGTCTCAAAATTCTCTCTTTAGTCATTTTGACAGCTTTATTGGTTTCTGGGTAGGGGATGTGCGTGTTATAGTTTTTGGGGGAATGTGTGTAATGTGCGTACGTAGATATATTTGTGTGAGTGTGTGTATGGGGAGACCTCAAAACCTCTGCAAGCATGTCTGTCTAGTGTGGGGGTTGATCTATGGGATCATATTAATTTAAAAAAAAATAAAACAATTAGTCTCATAGTCTTCAATAACCCTACAACCACACAACTAAATCCTCTACAAAAAAACAATGTAGTGTATCGATTTACATACCCGTTCAGAGATTGTATCCCTGATACTAATAATAAGCCCGCTACATACATTGGTTTTACTACAACCACGTTCCCCCATAGACTTACCAGTCACTTTTCTAAGTTCTATTAAACAACATATCTTAGAAAAACGTAGCCATGTACATAATATTAGACAGATATTAGTTGATAATACAACAATACTCACACATACACACAGTAAAAACAACCTTGAGATATTGGAAGCCATTTACATTAAAAAGAAACAACCCACACTCAACAAAATTACATTTCAAACTAGTCACAGCACATTACATTGTATGTAGACATTGGTTCTGTTGTAATACTTCGGTCTATCGCGCGGTATGACGTCATAGAACCGCATCTTGAACTTACGATCTACGTCTGCTATTCCGCGACGGTTATCGTCGCATAGCAATTTTCTATGTCAAAATAACAAAATTTCATCTTTGACGTTGGATGTCTTTGTTTCAATGTCCGTATAACCACTTTGAACGTAGATCATGTGAGCCGGAAGCTTACGACCAACTTAATAAAAAATATCCAAATGTTGGACAATTTTTGTCTTTATTTACATCAGAAATTAAAGCAAACATTCAAACATTAGAACAGCTCATGATCAAACATAATAGACATTCATTGTCTGTTATATTTAATAATATATGTTTAAATAATACACACACACACACACACACACACACACACACACACACACACACACACATATATATATATATATATTTCAGGATGAGTATATTTACTTATATTTATAAGATTATATATATATATATATATATATTACATGAATCATTCATACAAAAACCAGATATTGAAGTTAATGATATAAATGGCGAAAATACATCTTCCCAAACAAATTTAATAAATTACATTAACCCCGAACCTGTACATGATTGTTATGATCCCTGTTTATAAATTCCAGTTGCATAAGGTCTTTTTTTAATTTTTTTACAAGCTTTCATCTGTGCATACAGGCATCATCACGTATGGAAATAGATTTGTTTTTACACGCCGGTAATAACAGGACAACGAAAGAATAGATGTAATCCGAAATATGTTTTTAGAAATGTGTTATTGTTAATTGTAAAAGATTTTGGAGCGTGCGGTCGCAACACTGAGGTTGAATTTTTAAATTTTAAGATTGTGCGTTTTTGTACTAATATGGTAATAGGAGAATTCTTTTGTACTGGTAGGTTTTTCAGACAATGTGGCATGAACTAAATTGTTCAATAAATAGAGGAAAGTCATGTAATGTAAATTGAACTGCACCACATACTTGATATTAAAATAAGTGATCCGACGTGCAACTTTCGGATAACATCTGTGACAAGGGTTAGGAATGCCAGCGGGATCAGTAACAGAGTTTTAGCTGCCTGGCATCGTGGACATTAAAGTCAACGAACACAAAAGTATTTGCAAACTTGTGTAGGGCGATGACCTTTACCAGAAATACTATTTAGCACGCAACAGTCATAAGAGGAGGGGGAACGCTAGAGAAAGAAGAGATAGCTGACTGAGTTAAGTAGAAAGAGATGGAGACACATGTAAGAGTCGTGTAGAGATACAAGACAGAGTTTCCTAGCCAGTGAGAAATGTTCACAGACATAAACTCTCAGACCATGCATGTGGACATTATTCTTCTTCTTGAGGAGAGGAAGACAGCCAGGAATCGAGAAATTAGAGGAAGGACTTGAAGAGTTAAGACTAGTTTCACAGAGGACCGCTTTTTTTTTTTTTAAATCAATCTACTTTTCTTTTGGCTTCTATCAAAGGAATTCGAGATCTTCCCTGATACCAAAAACAACCAGTCAAACACAAACAAGTGGCATTTGAGATGATATATATATATATATATATATATATATATATATATATATATATATATATATACAAAGTATATAATT